GAATGCTTTGTGTCACAGCTTCTGACACCTTCTGTGATTGATTCAGATGACATTGAGGGCTGCTGCTTTTTGATGGACTTCAGCTTTGAGGATTGCATGTACATTGCAAACCTCCCAAATTATATTGAAAGGGACTAATGTCATGTCTTTGAAACTTTCGAAAGGGACAACAAGTTTAAACTGATATTTACCAGGTCCACTGCTGACTTCTAGATCTCTACTCAACGGTTCACCTCTACTGCTGTGAGGACGAGCAGACGGGAGGAGGGACTTCTTCACCCACAGCGTTGTTTAAACAGGACTGTGGGTAACAAACCCTGGGTTGAGAAGCATTTATTCCTTCTTTCTGCTGCCTTCACAGCAGTCGAGGCGAACCACAAGTCAAGCTAGCCAACTCAGCGGTGAACCTGGAGGATAGCAATGCAGCCTGTTGGTCTTTCTCAGCTTCCTAAGACCATCTTTGTGCTTTTTACGAAAGTTTGTTGTCTTGTTTTGGGCAACTGTAAAGCTGGGTAAAGTGAAGCATTCCTTTTTGTATCAAAAAGCAAAGCAAACTTGTGAGCATTTCATTACACAACCTGAGATCGGCAACTGGTTTTGAGATTTGGCGACACTGGTTCATGCTGTAGATGAGAAAATTAGCAAGGGCTGTATGGCTGCTGGTCTGGAGTATTTAACATGTGTCACACAGCTGCGATATCAAAAGCATGTGCCAGTACAATGCTCATGAAGATCGAAATGGGCCAGGATCCTTGGAGTTCGTGGGTGACAGCATTTGCTTGGAAAGAATGGTGCAGAAAGAAAGGACAAACCAGAAACATCCTCTTACAGTTTTTGACATGACCTCTTTGACCCTCTCTATTCTTTACCTACACTTATATAGTTCTTGACTTTAACAAACAAAAACCATGAGTTGTGCTATAATTCAACATTTTTGTCAATAAAAATGTTTTTTGGTGGATGCTTTTCAACAGGATTCTCTATTTACTTGGAATGGAGAGCGTGCTGGTAACGATAATATAAATAAAGGGACGAACATAAAACACAAGGACGGACAAGACGATTTCCCAACTGGCAGCAGATGTTTAATGACAACTTTGACGACCCTTCTTTACATCACTTATATTCGGATTGTCTTACTTTCAGCGTTCAGTGCACATTAAACTAGCAAATTTAGAAGCCATATAAACATCTCGCCGGGTGCCTTCCGTAATGATGATCTCGCATGCAAGTAAACTGAAAAAGCTATCTTGTGAAAATCTCGTATGAAAAAAAGCTCACCATAAAATGCTATCAGAGATAGTTAAGTGCATAACTATATGATACACTAAGTTTGCCAGCATTCTGATGAAGCTCGTCGGAACTGGGGGGTGTATTCACTTTTATGCATCCAAAGCACATGTGCATACTTGCAATAAACATTTGTGAGCAAAGCTCTTGTCAGACTGTCCAGCATGGATTGACATAGATGTCTGCATACTTGTGAATTAAGGATGAAGAGCATGTTCAGTGGTATCTTAATTTTCGGTTCTTTTCCTGTCTCTGTTTGGGGGATCGACGACACCTTCCAAAGCTTTCACGGCTGTGTCAGACAAACTGGCTTTTCTTAAGTTCAAGCTTTTACAGGCACAACCCTCCAACGGTTGCAAGCTGTCGGGGCAACAGGGAAACTCACAAATGCCGACAATAGTGCAAAATTCCTCAAAAACAATGATATAGAAACAACCGTTCATACACACGAGTTAAAGAAAGACACCTGCCAAGAGCTAGGAGACCAACACCTCCGAGGGCTGTAGATGACGTCGTTTTGCCTCAGTTGTATGTGATGTCATATCAAAGTGGTGGCAGCTACTCCTACTCATTGCTTGCTTCGACGTACGACGTCTTCAGTGTAAAAAAAATGCAGTGAAGAAAACGAAGAAAACGCTCGAAGTTTGGCCACCAGAAAGGACCAAATTACGTCAATGCAAGCTATCTACTAGAGAAGCAGGATTGGAATATGGAATTACTCAACCCTCGCATCTCTAGTGGTTAGAATGAACCGATGGAGTACAATTCTCGCAATCAGAAACTTGTTACAGCATCAAGCAGTTTGAATAGCATTCATTAAAGTCTTCAAACAGCTTGCTCAAGAAATGGAAAACTGGGCACATGTATTACATACTCTAAAGCTGTTAATTTGTGAAATGGTTTAAGCTATCAAAGAATCAACAGATGAGCGTAATTAACGAAGGGAAATTAAAGGTATTATACCGGGTGCCCCAAGTAGCGGCCAGGATCCTTAAATCGACCGCAAAATTCGGTTTCGTAACCTATCTCGCTACGATTTTGTGCAGCATTGCCCACAGATGGTGCACTGTTTTTTTTTAATTTGCAAAGAGCAAACTTACCTGAGGAAAAAGTAAATAAGCATTGTGTTCGTTGATAACCACGATCACCAGGACTACGCACCCTACACGTCAATCAGAAGGAAGCGCTACCTCGCACTTCTCGAACCGCCGGCCTCAATTGCAGCCGCCTAGCGAGACGCGGCTTATTAGCTGCTTAGTCATGGCTTAGTGGCGACGTGGATGGCACGGCGATTTGCAATATCGCCAAGCCGAAGACAGAGCCAACGGAACGGAAAGAAGCCGAGATGGCCAAGCCACTGTCGACCAGTGATGCAGTCTCTTCGGCTTGATGTCACGATCGGTTTGTCGCCGTGCCACGCAGGTTGGCTTTGCTGTGCGGTACGGCTGGTGCGGCTGTCGGGTACTTGTGGTGCACATTATTCGAGACAGTCGCCCAAAGACGTCGCCATCATCTCTGTGAAGAAGTGATTGAGGAATGTGTGCGAGCTCAACGTCAGTCTATGTTCTGTTTCGACATGTATGGAATGTGTAACGATACCGGTGGTAAATGATGTATGTTTTGCTGAAAGATGACTTCGCCTACGTCATTGGACGCAAAATCATACCAGCCACATCGAATCATATCGGCAAGCAAACTGACTGCCACTGTAGTCAGACGCGGAACCCGTAGCGGTGCCAGTATCTCCAGTTATGCAGAACACCGAACCAAACTAGCTGCATGCATAATAACAACAAATAGTGGCGGTGTCATACCAGAACTGTACAAGCAGCAGGTATGTTTCCTGTACGTTTTTCCAATAAAATAATATGAAATGAACACAAAAAAAAAAAAACACACCCGAGACTGCGGTGACGACAGAAACACGAACGGAAGAAGTATCGGAAGAACATACACAAGAGCAACGGCAGCACTGTGGGACAAAAGGCTTAACGTTGTTGACCCATCTCGCTTGTGTCGCTCCCGCGGCGATGACTGGATATTTTTACCGTTCCTTTCCCTTCTGAAATGTTTCAGCATTTCTTTTCAGACAGTCAGCAACTCACACACAACATAAATTTACCAGAATCGAAGCCCACCTGTTTGCGGGAAGAAAACGTTGCACCAGAGCCCGTTCATTCGAAAAGTGTGGGGAGCTGCGAGGACTGCGCATAATCCCGCGGTTACGGGGATAATCATAAGTATAAATTTGGTACTTTCAACCTTGATAACGTATTGCATATTATGTTTATATTATATATATAATAAATTCTACAAGACTGCGCTTTTAAAACGTATATTCATGTCGGATAAACGCACACGAATACCACCGCGTCGCTCGACAAGAAACATTTTTTTCACGTCTATACCACATATTTTTTCCAGTAGTTGTGCCGTGGCCTTCCTTCTCCGACATTGTGATGTAACCAATCGGAGCGCTACTACCTTCTTTCTAGAAGGTGTTGGTTTCGGCGTTTCGCCGCAGCAAAACACCCGTTACATGACTCTCCTCTCACCCATTGTCTGCCGCTCTACCTTTTCACTTCCGGCGGTTGCGTCTTGTGGCGATCTGCCAGGCATTGTCAGTATAGAGGAGGCTATAGATAGGCACAGCACACCGGGGTGATACTCATCTAAATTGAAACAGGCATTGGTAAGTATTGAATAGACTACTTCCAAAAATCTCTGCATGCACTACTGCGCGCCCAGTATTATGAGACCTCTTTGGTCATGAAGAGGGTGGCATGGTTTCGATTTCGGTCGTCCCGGTGACGAGGTAGTGCATCTCAGCACTGCACGAAAATAAATGCAGCGCCCGTTTGCGGTGCACCTATTCATCTTCATGAAAGCTCCCGTTGAAACACTGACCTCCAGAGCCCTTAAGGACCTGCCTAAGTGCCACTAAATAAGCTGCGCTTCAGAGTAACGACACTTGGCCATACTGTGGCTTAAAATCATGATTGCCAGTTATCTGAAGGTTTATCTAAAATCACAGGAAACGCTTTTTCGTCCTCATTAAATGTTTAAATCGATAATACACGAGCTTCCTACGAGCGAACCTAATGCTGAAAAAGTCACACTTTTGAGTCATGACGATCGGCAGTGGCGTCTTGTCTGTACAAGCACCAAAATGGCGGCGCCCTACACAATGTCGTGAACAGAGTGCCGATACTCTAAGCGCCGCTCATTTAGTGGCTCTAGACATGCCTTAGGCTCAGTGAGGATAGGAGTATGGCCCGTCCACGTCCCATACCTTTCAAAAGGCATGGCCACCACTCCCGACTGCACCATGACCCTCCGCACTCGCAGATCATTCAAGAAGCCCATTGAGGAGAAGATGGAACAGGGTGACAGACCGAATATATACTTCTTCCATGTTCCTTTGTAGTACTCTTTACGTGCGCATAAACTCTGGCATGTTAAGAGCCCCCCCCCCCCCCCCCCCCCCTCCTCCCCCATTTTCCCCAAATTTGCTTTTTTGATTGAATTGGTAGGCCACACTATTATAAATTTCGGGAAAGTCACATATTCGAAAATTCAAGCATTGTATTTGGTCGTGACAGGATGTTGTGAAGTCAGGTTGGCAAATCGAAACCGAAACTGTGGCCAAGGGGTACCCAAGATGCTTTGGACGGCACTACGCCTTCATGTCCCAAGGAAGCTGCACTTACATTTTGCGGGTTGGCTTGGGATTCCGAAGCGGCTTCCGATGCAAGCCACTGCCTTCTCTTCCTCATCATCTCTTTCAACCCTAAAAACGTTGTGTGGAGAAAAAAAAAGGAAGACTTAATTATTGCTAGTACAATTTTCAGGGGTGATACGGCACAAACAGCTGTCAAGACCGTGTAGGTAGCGCAAACAAGAAACTACAAATTTTTGCGATGGCATTTAGGTATACAAGGTTGGCTTGCTTTCCCATTTCGTTATCTTCTACAGTGAACATTTCATCCTGATATTTAATTGCAACGTTACATAATATTTGCGCAAGAGGTACAGAGCTTTGTAGAAGTTTTACATGTTTTGGATTCTCAAGGAACCGACGCCGCTGTCAATTCAGAAGGGGGAAAAAATCATTATCACGCCATATACTTTTACACCGGTATGGAAACGTATAGTGAAGTGAGTTTCCTTGTTCTAGACCGCGGAAGTCTTTTGGCCGGCCTGTGGCTGGCCGTGGTCCTTCCAGTGAAGTCTGGCCGGCGGCCCGCTCCCACCAACACGAAAATAATCATGCGTAAATCAATGGCGCCACAACGAGCACCAACCGTGTAAACAAATATCAGAAGCAAAAAAAAAAACTGCCATCGTAATGCAGCAATAAGGCTCTGGGAGCATATTCATGCGGAGGGAAAAAGAAAAAAAATCAAGGGTTCCAGCGTTCGTTCACCACACAAGAGGGGAAAAGTATAGAAGGCGGCAAGGCAAGGGAATTTATTAGACGAACAGTCAAGGCGACATTCGCAGAACTTGAACTGAACAAGATTGGAATGCGTGAATGCGCCATAATGACGCATTCACACTGGAAGCGGATCCGCGTTCGCAAAGCGGTTGCGGATGCGGTTCGCGAGCGACCTCGTTCAGACACACCGAGAGGCGGTTGGCAGTTTCTCGGCGATCACGCGTGATCTTTTGAGACTTGCGCTTGGCAACCCTGTTTTAAAATCCAAAATCCACTTTAATCCACGATCTAAAGCCAACATTTTGCAATTTTGTCACTCTGAAGATTTTTCTTGGGGATGTTCGCACGCATCATAAGTTTAGGCAGCAAAAAAAAAAAAGGCATGGACTCGCCAAACTTGTCTGTGATTCCCTCTACTTCGCCTACAAGCAAAGCCCAGCTAGTAGCGCCTTGCTGACTCAGGATGCCCCCGACCTTTTTTTTTTCGAAGTGGACCCTTCCCGCATGAATAGCTGACCCTGCTTTCCCGGTTAGAGGGCTAGTTTTCCCCCCTCATTCGCTCTTATCATTTTCAAAGTTGTGAGCGGTGGGGTGAACCGTGGTGCGGGGAATGTGTTCGGTGCTAGCCGGTCGTGACTTCGTTGGTGGCGGACTCTCCTCTCGTCACTCGCACGTCGACCGAGTCTACTGTTTGTTTCACATTAAGCTCAAATAAACGCCGTATGGATTACCCCTGCATTGTCTGGTACATACACTTTGTTCCTTGAGTATGTTTCTTTTGTTTTCTCTTGCTAGTTGTAAACGTTACAGGTCGAGCTAGCGCAGGTACCCTGCCCGCTCTGCGGTAGTGCGTTGGCTACGCAATCAGGCTCACGACGTCTCTATCGGCCTTCGTTTTGTTCATGCATGGTGTCGAAAGCTTTCAATAGTTCACGCGACTATCGTGAGTAGAAAAGCTGACGTTTCGGTCGACCAGGGGCCGGTTCCGACGTTCTACCGACGACTAACAAGGCAGCGAGCTTCGGGCCTGTGGCACCCAGAATAATAAATAAACTCTTATCCGAACCAAGTCACCGGTGCGAAGCCCGTTAAAATTACGAGTCATTTTTTTTCGCGATGGATTCAAGTGACGGACGTGAACATCACGTTTTTCCGTTTATTTGTCTGCTGTGGCGCTAGGACTACAGCGCCTTGGACGCCCACTGGCGACAGGTGCCATCTTGTTTCGAAAGTCACTGACGTCACGTCAGCATCGCGTTGTGATTGGTTACCGCTTTGCGGTTCATGAAAGCGGTTGGGAGAAATCGGTCCCGAAGCGGTTGACAAAAACACGCTCCAACCGCTCGGTCCCAGGGTTGCCAGGTTGGGCAATAAATAGCCAAATTGGGCTAGTTTTATTTGCAGTTGGCAGGAAAAAATGGTAGTTGGCTATTTGGCTAGTATTGGGCTATTTCTAACCTGTGCATTGGGCTATTTCTGACCTGTGCACTGAGCAATTTCTGACCTGTGCTGGAACCAAAATGCCTGAAAGCACTTGGGTTTATAGGTTCGAATGTATATTTAAAGTAAGTTACGTGAACATTTGGCGCTTCAGTCCCTTAACCCTGATAAGTTTGCGACAGCAAACTAATTCGTCTTCTTTTTGCGCGCTTTGTGCAATTGTTTACCTCCGAATGCAAGCATGTGCTGTTATTCCTTCATCTCAACAAGTGACGGTGCGATTCCTTGCGGCCTTAACAGCACCTGTTCTGCGCATTCTTTAGGTTGTTTGAATTCTGCATAGTTCTCCCGTGACGTCATTCTGGTCACCAAGCGTCCCAATATAGTGGAAGGTATGTTGTCATGCGCTTGTATGAGCGTTCCAGGAATTTCGTCGAACGTGCAAGGGACGCCATTTCTGGGGCATTTAATGGATAAAAATGTATTATGTGTCTTTTCTTTTCAAAATAAATGTTTCAAATGGTGAGTTTTTTGTTTTTTTTGCTATTTTGGGGTTATTTTTCTGGATCGACATTTGGCTATTTTTGGGCTATATCTCGTAGACGTTTGGAGTTCAAACACCTGGCAACCCTGCTCGATCCTAGCCGCTTTGCGGTTGAGATCGCGCGGATCCGCTTTGCGTTTGCGGATCCGCTTCCAGTGTGAACGCGCCATAAACGTGGGGCACGATCTTTTGTCCTCTGCACTGTTTGGATCAAGAGTTCACCGATAAGACAACCTTGACAAAAGACCTCTCACCCGGAGAAAGTGAGACAGGTTTCTGGAGGGAACGTTGCACTATTGTCTTCCCGCAACAAAAAACAAATAAAATGAAAAATCGCGACGTTATTTTTGTAGCCTCGGTTACTATAGCTGCGATGTAGAAACAACCGATACTGGCCATTTTTCGTCGACCGTCGCATCATGAAACGCCGTTTAATTGAATTCTGAACGAATACGAGATCATTAAAGCGCTCTTAGAAGCTCTGCATATCGCAACAAAGCCTTGTGGAGGTTTCTAAAACCATTTTGGTTATCCTATCAAATCATCGAATAAAAACTTGTTGCGCGGTGTGGCAACGTGGTACCTGACAGCGAATAATTCTGTGCCAGACAGGAAATATGAACAAAGCGCGTAAAGAAAACTATGTCGATAGGAAACCTATACTTGCTTTGACCGCACAGTCCACATGAGAGGAAATACCAAATGCCCCTGTTGTTTGGTCTTTGCGGTAGTGCGACGAAACCACAAAGCTGTGTCATGTCGGGGCATATTATAACTTGATTGGAACGAAAATCGCACAAAGGGCCTGTTAACAAGTTGGCTGTTTACAGTGGTAGCGTGCGCGCGTGCAGTTCTATACTTTTTTATAGGCGTGGAGAGGAAAGGAGAAACTTGGCGAATAACTGAACAGTCGCAAAAACGACATGCTACGGCAAATCACGACGCCTTCACGTCCGTAAATGCAAGCGTCCTCGCGCGCGCATTACTTTAGGTGCGCGTTACGTGAAGCCAGAACGCGCGATTGTGCGTGCGTCAGGCGTGTTTTGCAGCCCACGCTTCCATGAAACACGGTCCATCTAAAAAAAGACGACCCCTTCCAACTTCTACGCTGGTGTGGGGAAAACAATCTGAGCGTGACGCTCGATACGTTGACGAGTCGCACAGATACACGCCCGCAATCCGTTTCAAATGGACACCTGGCTAAAGAAAAGCAAGAGGAAAGGACTTGCCGGCGTCGATGATAATCGCCTCCTCGGGCTCTTCCCATCTGTTGACATCCACGCGGGACCCGCGCAAAGGTCCGATGGCGTCCGCGTCGTTCGTGAGACGTTCACGGATCTCCTTGCTTTCCAAGGCCGAGAGCGGGCAGACATCCAGCGCGTTGTCGAGGACCCACCTAATCAAAATGAACTTGCTCATCGTGCAGAGAGTACACACGGCACACACACGAAAACGAACGTCAAGTTCGATATGCGCTGCGATTGAAGCGCCTATCCAGACGAAAGCATGAATGAATGGATGGATAGATGGCAGAGCTCTGATAGATAGATAGAGCATGCTAACGGCTGTATCCTTGAATACGGAAGGTAGCTTGCGCCACCTATCCTAGGGACTAAAATATCATACCTTTTCTCGTTCTTCTGAGCCGATATGTTTCTCCCCCTCACTCTTTTTTGTAAGAAAGACAAGTTGGAGAAGGCAGGAAAGGGCGCCCACGAGAAAAGCCGTTGTAGAAAGGAGGTCGCTCCTCTCCATTTCAGCTTTCCGAACCGATACCCGTTTCCACCTTTGCGTTTTGTTCATACGCGGAGCGGAGTACTTCTTGCGAGATTTGATCGTCGTAGGAGAAAGCGGTGCTTTTGGCGTTTCGAACGTGTTTGACTTTATAAGATAACGTATATATAATCTTAACTGCACCTACATTTATCTTAATTACCCATATAAAGCCGGAAATTAGAAATGCTACGTGAGGAGCCCAACTATTTTTTTACTAGGGAGGTGAATACGGGTATAGTTTCCGCCCTTTTGCCCCTCCGCTCTGTCTTTCTTAGGTTGTATTTGATCAAAGAGAATGGGGTCGCTGCCGAGCACATTGAGCCAAAACACGTAATCGCAAGTAATAAGGTTGTGCTTCTCGAAAAAATACGCGGACAAGGAGGTATACACGACGTTTCGGGCGGACGCCCTTCTTCAAGTAATTGCTCGAAGTAATTACTTGAAGAAGGGCGTCCGCCCGAAACGTTGTCCGCGTATTTTTTCGAGAAGCACAACCTTATTACTTGCGATTACGTGTATTTGATCATATCACCAGGCAGTGCGAGATATCGCTAGGTAAAATCACTTGTGCTTGGATAAACAATATAATAAGTGCAAAGTTGCAATTCTTTCGACATTAAAATCGTTGCACTACCCTTTTATATTTTTTCCCTATTTCTTCGTGCATAAAAGGTACACCAGCAAAGAAATATAACTATTATCTGCGCCATTTTGATTTTGTATTCATCTATTTACTTGTGTTTTCGTTCTCTACGTTTCGACTGAAGTCACGGAGCTCGTCGCAGCCTACAGGCAAGGGCGGGCGCAAGGGATTCGGAAGAGACAAGTCGCCACAGCAGGTTGCGGACACGGAGAGGGAGGCCGTCTCCAGATAGTATTACGAGGGTCTCCTATGTTAGAATTAAAATTAACTTTTGGGCTGGTTGGTTATACATTGTTAAAAATCAAAAGCGCAAACACCAAGAAAAAGAGGAGGGGACGGGACAAAGTGCTCTGTACTGTCCCCTCTTCTTTTCCTTCGTGTTTGCGCTTTTGGTTTTTGACAACCTCCCATGTTAGCTTCACAATGCCTGTCAACGCGGAGCATGCGCAATACCAAGGCAGCCGGCAAGACGTGCGCGTGGCTCCCGGCTGGTGGCGCTAAGCAGCGGGGACCATGGACGCCGGAGTGGCACTTACGAGGCCTTCGAGATTATCGCTATGTACAGATTAATTAGAGAAGGAAGCCACGGGCAGCAAAATGCTTTCAGACGGATTAGAGCGCAGCTGGAAAATAAGACTTGACGTGTCATTTTACTTCTTAATCAGAAAACAATATATGGAAAAGTGTTTATTAAAAAAAAAAACGATTAGAAAGCATTTGATGGCACATTTGTAGACCACATGTTGAACTAAACATTATACACTCAACTTCATATACTTCAAAGACAATCGTTCCGCTGCGTTGAATGACGTTCGTGGAGGCAACGGGCAAGATATTGACCTCTTGCCAGTGTCTGTCGTTTACGACGCAATTATTCTAGCTGAGAATGTGTATGTACACATCGCGACACTGTTAGCGCGAACACGACATCGGCTAATTTTCGTATTTTACTTCTAAATGGTATTAGCGAGCACGAAATTTTATCGGTTACATTATGAAACTAAATGAGCTCTTTCCGTAGCAATACTAACCTCGATGACATTTTTTGGTTTCAAGGGGAAAAACTGGAAAACCGGCGATCGCTTGTTCGCGCTAACAGTCTCGCGTTCTGTACAACAGAGTGCACAGTGACTGTGTCTCTGCGCGTTTGGAATTTACGAGGAAGAGGCTTCCGCACAAACTTGTTGTACACTTTTTTTTTTTGTCTGCTTTATTGAGAGCATTGTTGTGGCGATGACTTTCGGTGTTTTCGGGCAGGTACGACTCTCCTCCGCTATAGACCCCTTTCAAAAGTCACGTGCCGATTATTAGAAGGTCGGAACCCCTGCACAATGGCGGAACAACTGCGTCGAGGAACGTGCAAGTCATTCCATAAGATAGCGAACGTCGGAGCGCGGCCAACACTACGAGTAGACGAGCCAATCAAAGAGCGTCGAAAGTGCGACGTCACTGCGCTCATCCCCTTTTTTGTCTGTGTGCTTTTTTCAGTGTGCCGTGACGTTGAGGTTTTAGTCCGCCATTGTGCAGGCATTTCGCAGCTGCCAACAAAGAGCCGTATTTCGAAAGGGGTGTATAGCCGTAGCGGAGGAGAGTCGTACGGTGCTCGCTCTGCGAACCTAAGTAATAGAGTGTTAGTAGATCATTCCGATACCGCCGATAACGATACCCGATAACGATACCCGATAACGATACCCGATAACGATACCCGATAACGATACGATGTATGCGCAAAGACGGCGGCGGAGTATCGGGCACCGTTTTCGGAGTCATCCGAACGATCTACCAAACCTCTCTAGTATCTCGAAGCGTCACCAGTTCCTTACGTTTGCATGATAACGTCTGTCGCAAACATTGTGAGAATGTCGGGCAGATGAATTAGTTCGTCTGAAGGGGTACAGAAGTCCTGCTCCATCCAGGTGCTTTGTAATACCCTGCAAATCCCTCTAAGTGGTATTGGCGACGTGCGCGACCGAAAGCGTCGCTGTGGTCGGCCTTCCACGATTGGCCGAACGTTGACTATGACGTCAGAAAAGGATTTATCATCGACGGAAATAAGAGGAATGAAAGAACTTTAATTTCGACGGTGTTGGCAGTGTTCCTTTGAGAGCGCAATGATTTCAAGCTTCCACCATGCTATTTCCAAACACCATCGAACTTGTTGTTTGCAAGGTAATGACGTCACAAGGGGGAACCATAGGAGGGCGCCACCAAAACATCTCGCCGCTAATACTTACTGGCGGCCATACATGTGTCCGCTGTTGCAGAGCGCGAGTTCCACAACGCTTCCGAAACGTGCGCTTCACAAGCACCACCAAAATTGTGAGTCTTCTCGAAAGTTAAGTGAGGTATCGTTTCTAGCATCCGCTGTGAACGCGGCGCTCAAGAAGCCCTGAATAGGGCGCCCCTAGCGGCAAACAGGTCATTTTCATCGATAGGTCCTGTTTAGCCGCTGCACTCACATTGCGTTCGCTCAAGTTTTGCGCCACAAAAAGAGCTTCCGGAATTTTCTAAGAAACTAAAATCCCGTCGTAATAACGACGGGCAATTCGTCACAATAAATAGACCCTTTCCAAAATTCAGTCTGCCCACCTTTTGATGGCTGGTGAAGAAAGAATTTGAAGACAGAAACCGATGTGAAGCCTGAGCATCCAGACGTTAGTTCGCTGTATTGTTTTTTCGTGTCACCGTGACAAGACTTATAAGCTTCCACGCCCTACGCACTTGTGGCGCCCATGTAAGTCCTTGGAATACTCGTCTTCGGCACGCCCCAGGTACGACTCATGGCAACGAAATGTTAATTTCATTTCGAAGCGACGCGAGGTGTCGCTTCGACGCTGTGTTCGCCCCCGCAACGGTCTCCCTGTGTTTCTTACACCTCCCCTCATCCCCCTCCCCCCTTTCCCCATCGCCTCCCCAAGTCGAGCTCTGAGCGGCGAGCCGCCCCAGTAAATCTGTAGTTGCAAGTCGAAAGCTGTGTCGTCTGTTTCGTCCTCTTGTGTGTTTCTTTCGTTTTAATTCAATGTTCATTTAGAGGTTTACGCAACTACAAGCGCCTCGTACAGAGTCTTAAGGCCCGTTCGCACTCTTGCGACCGACTTCAACCGAGAGAGACCAGACCGGTTTTTAAGCCTTTTGCGACTTCTTAGAACCGGATGCGATGCAGCGGAGCTGGTCCTAAGAAGTCGCAAGAGGCTTAAAAACCGGTCTGGTCTCTCTCGGTCTAACTCGGTCGCAAGAGTGTGAACGGGCCTTTAGTATCTTAACACCATCAAAACTAAAAAAAAAAAAAAAAAAAACTGTTTATCGAAAAACACCGTAACCTTCATGCGTCTACCGTTGATGAATAGGTACCAGAGCACTGAATTTGTGAGAGTCTGTTGCTTCAGGGGTATTCACACGAGGGAGAAATCCCGGGGATTTCTCCCCGGCACGCGCGCATCACGAGACAAAAACGCGAGGCTTTTGTACATCGCAAAGCCTGACGTTTTCGTCGCAGGATGCGCGTGTCGTGGAGAAATCCCCGGGATTTCTCCCTCGTGTGAATACCCCTTTCCCGACGAGTAGACGGCTGGTTTCTCGATCGGCCGGGCGACGGTCGTCTTGTCCGGCGGCGTGTATGATGCTCCCTCCCCGGTCGTTTTGTGTAGTTTTATTTTTCTTACGGGAGACCGCGTGGGCCTTTCTGCCGACGCGGCCCCCCTGGAGAGCGTCTTCCTGTGTCTCCCCCTTCGGGATGACCCCTCGGGAAGAGATGTTGTTTTTTAGTTTGAATCTGGAGGCTTGCGCATTCTACGGGGCTTCTTGGGTTTCAACCTGGGGGTTCCGGAGAGGCGCCGCTATGTCTGCAACGGGATGCACGGACGAAGTTACGGAGCTGTCGGCTGTAGTCCGTTGGCAAGTTAACGAATGTGTATCGACGCCCTTGCCAACTATTGGACGGTGGATATCACGTGGCTCCAGCAAAGCTTTGAAATGATTGGTTGATCCTCTCTCGAGAGTGAGGGGGTCAGCGTCTTCAAAAGCCCGTGACGGGGGAGAGAGAAGCCCCTTTTCTGGCTTGAACTTGGACTAATTTGGAGG